GCCTTGAAGGATGGGTAAGATTTACAGATGAAGGTGGGAATAAGGCAATCCAAGCAAAGATAACAGCAGAGGCTCCACAGCAAAATGTGTAAGGTGAGTTTACTGCTCTAACTCAAGTATCTGGAGCCCTAGCATTTGGGTTTTCTCCCTCCACAGCCACATGTGAAAATCCAGTCATGCAATTATGTAACAACAGTAGCATTACCTCTTACAGAGCTTCCACTGGCAATTGAAAGCACATGCAGTTCCTCGACTTGATCTGAGCTTACTGTTTGTCTCCTCATGAATATGAAGCTCAGAATCATGGCTCACAGTGGTCATTTTTCTGAGTTTAGGCAGCAGTGTGAAGAGAGGGCTTCCCCAGAATGGAACAAGGGACACCTTGATCCTGGCATGTCTTCTGTTTTTTGTTTGTTTCCCTCGGGACCAATTTCTTTCACTGGATTGAAAACTTGGCAAGTTAGATGTTTATCTCATCTGGAGAGGTTATTCTATCTTTGTTTAGACCGAACAGGAACTACTCAGAGCATCAGGATGTAAGAATTTAGACAAATGGGTACTCTCACATAGGAGTGCACCATTTGCTAAACATTTGAGCACTGGGCTAGGCCCTGGTGACACAGATGGACTTGATCAGTCCTCCCCTTCAGTGTGGAGGATGTGAGGCCACAGAGCCCAACTTTGTACCCATTGCCAGAGAGGCTCCCGGAGGAGAGGGATGAGGTAGACCAGGTAGGAAGGGAAAGTGGGGTAAAGGAAGGAACTGAATTGAGGTATATCCATTTGGGATCAGACAGGTCAGCCTGTGGAATGAATACAAGCCAATTTGGGCCAGCCTGGAATGTAGCAGGAGAAACACTAACTCCTTGTTTTTGGAGGAGTGCCAGTCCCTACAGTGGTGCCTTTTTATTGGGCTTACCATTTTTCTCAACATGCAGGCAGCCTCTATCCCAGATTACCGGGGTCCTAATGGAGTGTGGACACTGCTTCAGAAAGGGAGAAGTGTCAGGTAAGTAGGCCATCTCAGCCTCCCAATGTAGGTTGAGCAGGGACATGTGGGCCTGAGCTTGCAGCTCTCCTCACCTCCACATTTTCTTCTGCCCAGCAGTGCTACTGATCTAAGTGAGGCCGAGCCAACCCTCACTCACATGAGCATCGCCCGTTTGCACGAGCAGAAACTGGTAAGAGCCTAGGTGGCCAGCATACTCTCCCAGGTCCAGGCATGGGACCTGGAGCACCACCTTGGTGCCCAGGTGGGCAGTTGCATCCTATCTCTGCCTGCCCATTGGCCCCATGAGGAGCACCTATCAAATGGTTTAGACTCCTGGTTTGATACTCCTATGCTTCCTCTCCAGGAGAAAAGAGTAGCCCTCCCTCTAGGTCATCCCACCCAGGCTCAGGGCTGCTGTTAGCCCTTCTCCTCATGCTTCTCTCCTATTTTCCTGTGGACCTCAGAAGTCATGCTAGTCACAGGGAGGCTCATAGGCAATCTCTGGAGAATCTCTGCTGAACGCCTTCAACCAGGCAGGGCATGGGGGGATGGTAGAATCTACCTGGGTCCTCAGGGACCTGAAACATACGGCCCAAGAAGGCATAGATTTGGGACAGAATGGCCCTTCCCAAACCCCCGAGCCATTCCTCAGCCTTGCAGGGACAGTGCAAATACTTGCCCTTTCTGCTTCTAGTGTGTGAGGGCTGGTGTGAAGACTAGCCGCTCCCTATCATAGACCCTCCTAAGTCCTGGTGGTTGGGCCTGCTGTTTCACCATCTGAGGCTTTCTGAGGGTTGGAGTTGCCCTTTATCTTGGTTTTTCAGCTGGGCTGGACTTAGAACGGCCTCACTGCTATCAGGCGCTGCATCTCCATCCCAGGTGCTACCTGCCACCTGTGTCCTGTCTTCCAGGTGCAGCATGTGGTGTCTCAGAACTGTGATGGGCTCCACCTGAGGAGTGGGCTGCCTCGCACAGCCATCTCAGAGCTCCACGGGAACATGTACATTGAAGTGAGCAGTCCTCTAGGGACCCTGGGCCTGGGTAGGCAGGCGGGTCCCACTTACTGTGCCCTCTTGTCCTCAGGTCTGCACCTCCTGCGTTCCCAACAGGGAGTATGTGCGGGTGTTCGATGTGACAGAGCGCACTGCCCTCCACAGACACCAGACAGGCCGCACTTGCCACAAGTGTGGGACCCAGCTCCGGGACACCATTGTGCACTTTGGGGAGAGGGGGACGTTGGGGCAGCCTCTGAACTGGGAGGCGGCGACTGAGGCTGCCAGCAAAGCAGACACGATCCTATGTTTAGGATCCAGTCTGAAGGTATGCGTTCATGACACTGGGATTGAGCACAGTGAGCACATTACTAGTCCTGCCTGCCCAAAGCTGCCCAGCTCCAAGTTGGACCCAACTTTCAATAGCTTTTGTTCCCTGTATGTGTGCTCTGTCTGTCTATTTCCACAGGTTCTGAAGAAGTATCCACGCCTCTGGTGCATGACCAAGCCCCCTAGCCGGCGGCCCAAGCTCTACATTGTGAACTTGCAGGTAACTCAGGTACCCAGAAACATGTCACACACCCAGTGCACCTTGGGGATCTGATATGGGCCCCAGTGGGCACTTGGGGAGCACTGACTCAGCCCATAGGGGTCAAGGCTGACAGGCCACTGGGAAGTATTGGGGTATTATCCTTACTTGCCTTTCCCTGTCCTTAGTGGACCCCGAAGGATGACTGGGCTGCCCTGAAGCTGCATGGAAAGTGCGATGATGTCATGCGGCTCCTCATGGATGAGCTGGGCCTGGAGATCCCCCTATACAGCAGGTGAGTTGGCCCAGCTGCACACCCCTGCTTCCCTGCTCCTCTGTGTGGTGGGCCTTGTCTGTCTTCTCTTGTGAGCTGATAGTAGAGGAGGCTCTGAGGTGTTCCCAGTGATGTCTGAAGTGTGACTGAAGTGTGGTGGTCTCCAGAGGGCCTGACCTTGATGGTTGGTCAAGGCCCTGTGTGTGCACACTCCTGCCCTGGCTGATGTGACACACAGAATCCCTGTGGGAGAGGGACTCTGCCAGTGCATTTCTGCTTGAGGTTTCTAATTATTCTCTCAGATGAGCCTGGTGGGAGTTGTCTTGAAGGGATATGAATTCAGCAACTCTGGTCAGACAGAATCTCAGTGCTTGTTTTTTGGGAGTTGGCATATATTTTGGGGAAGCTTAACCTAACTGTACCTTAATACAGAATTGTGATAATTTAGACTTGGTGTATGTATTGAGTAAAAAGTTTACACTCTCTTTCTCTGTGAATTTTCAGGGTCTTATAGGGGAAATCAATAACTTCTTTTAATCAAAGGGTTCAAGAAATTAAGGATCCCTTCACCTTCTGGGCCTGGCAATTCTTGTATGTTATGTTTGTGGTGTTCTGTAATGTGGGCCTATTGTGTACTGTATTTTTTTTTTTTTTACATTAACTTAGCTCATTTTCTTTATCAGTGCTTATCTGTATCTTAAGTTTATGATCTGTGGTTCTACATCTCAGTCAGACACATGGTTTCTTCACAGTGTCGTCTGTAGGCCGTGCCTCCCTAGTCAGCTGGGAAGGGGGAGAGGGTCTGGTCCACCTGCCCCCTGGCCATACGAGAGGAAGGTGGGGCCCAGAGTTGCCATTGACTCCTCCCTGGAGTTGGATGCGCTCCTGGGGCCACTGCTGCTCCACCCTGCGTGTGCACACTGCTCAGTGGTGGACGAGGACACGGAGTTCAGAGGAGACCAAGCTAGTGTGGGTGCTGACCTTTGAGTTATCACCCAAAGATTGTCTCTCCTGCAGCTGTGCTGTAGCCTGGTAACAATGGAACTACTACCAACCAGAGCCCAGCTACATTAAGACATGGGAGGGAAGGGAATGGGAAGAAAGGGAGACCTCAGACAGCTTTCCCGTGCTGGGGCGGGTTGTGACCCTGAGAGGCTCCCCTGCTTGCCTGATGCAGCTTTCCCTTTTTGGTAGGTGGCAGGATCCCATCTTCTCCCTGGCAACTCCTCTGCGTGCTGGCGAAGAAGGCAGCCACAATCGGAAGTCACTGTGCAGAAGCAGAGAAGAGGCCCTGCCTGGGGACCGGGGTGCTGCACTTAGCTCAGCCCCTATTTTAGGGGGCTGGTTTGGCAGGGGCTGCACAAAACGCACAAAAAGGAAGAAAGTGACATAACCTGGTGTTCGATGAAGAACAATTAGCACTTTGTAGATGGCCAGAACTCTGATTCAGGGGCCAGTGTCACCGGGAAAGTTGCGTTGCCCCCATGGGATCTATGAGAAATCTTTGAGGATGACATTTTCACGGTGACATTTTTAGCCATTTGTCCTTGTGGGAAGCGCCCTTGCACTGCTGTGGTTGTCCCCTGATTGATACAGAATTGACCATCGAGGACACCTGCCCGTCCGGCCTCTATATGAAGAGGTGGCAGTGACACCTTTCTGTGAAAACAGAACCTGGGTGATTTCAGCCCTGGCCGACAGAGAGGAAGTCTATGGCTGCCTTACCTTGCTCACCAGGCTAGTCTCAGGGCCTCACTCTATTTCTACTACTTCTTACTAAAAAGTGTTAACTTTATAGAAACCTTTTTCTGTTTTGGATGCAGCAGAGAGGTGGTTCTGAGCCTTGGCTCTATGCAGACCTTTTTATTCCTATTAAACGTCTCTGCGCTGTCTTCTGGTGTCACTGCGTGGCCTGCCAAGCCCACCAACGCACTCCTGGCTTCAGACTCCCTTGGAACGGTGGCCCGTGAAGGTTAACGAAGAAAGCACTGTTATATCGCTCCCCACGGGACACTGGCCCTAGGCTGCGTGTGGGCCAAGCGGAGAGGCCAGGTGTGGGTGGAGGGGCGGGGCCTCCGATGACGAGGACGGGGCTCGACTACCGTCGTACGCCACCGGCAGTGCTAGGAGGAGTGAGCGGGCGGGGCCTAGGGTGACGGGGCGGGGTTTCTCCGGTTGGGGCGGGGCTCTTTTCGAGCAGAGCACGCCATTGGTCGCCCTTGGAGGGTGAGGCCCGCGTGACGGCGGCGGCGCGTGCGCGGGGCGGGGCAGGCGGCGGCGCTCGGAGTCTCCGGTGGCTGTCGGGCTGGCGGGTTCGCAGCTGCTGGGCCATGATCCGGAACGGGAGAGGGGCAGCGGGTGGCGCCGAACGGCCGGGCCTAGAGGGCAGCCGCGCCGTACGGGTGTGGTGCGATGGCTGGTGAGCGCGGGGTCGGCTGGCGGGCCGGGAACTCCGGGGTCGGTTTCCTTCCGGGGCGCCGCGCGGGCCGTTGCCCAGGGACCGGTCCCGCGACCTGGGTGGTGTCCCCTGCCAGATTCGAGCCGGGGCTGGCGGGGCCGCGGGTGCACCCGCCAGGGGGTCAGGCTGCAGGGTCTCACGCCCTGCCTCAAGCGTCTCTGCTCGTGGCAGAGGCCCAGCCCGGCCACGCCGTCCAGGTCAGTGCAGCAGTCGCCACGAGATCTCGGGCGATGCCCTCCCTTGATTCTCCGTAACCACCAGAGACCATCTTGTTCAGCGCCAGTCCAGAGATGTTTCCTGGCGTCCGCCGAGCTTCCCTGCAGGTGGACAGGGACACTACCTTTCTTGTCAAGGGCCTTCGAGCTCGCGGGCTCCTGGGTCCTCCATAGCAGGGCTAGAATGCCGACGCCTTCTCTGAAGAGTCAGAGAGTATTGTTTTGAGAAAAGTTTGGGGTTGTGAACAAGCAAAAGGAAGATGACCTTTACTGAGAGTTTGCCATCTTTGAGGTTTTCATTTGCCTTTACTCCATGGAAGCGGGAAAAGAACTGCTATCTAGTTAGCCCTTTCAAGGATAGCAAACAGAGCCTTGTCCTTCTCTGTGTCTGAGTCACTTTGGGAAGAAGGAACGTGCCTTCGTGTCAGTGGACTCTGACCTTGACCTGGCCCGGCCCTTGCTCCCAGTGCGCTATAGGCTATTGTGACTGGACCTAGCACCACACCCATTCCATTCTGTGCTCCTCTTGGCCCAGCCTCTGACTCTCCTGCCCTCAGCCTGTCCAGTAGTTACATGGGCCAGTCATACATTACCTTGATTGCTTCTAGGGCCCCATGTATTGTGGCAGGGGTTGCAGGTAGTCATGCTGGGAGCAGTAAGGAGCATGAATAGAACAGCTCTGTACACCAAATGGGGCTGCCAGGACCACCTGGGTCACACCACTCCCTGGAGAAGCAAAGACTGCTTCTTCCACTCTTGAGGGGATGGAAACTACTGCAAGGAATCAGAGCAGAAGCAGGGCCCAGCCACACATGAGGCTGTCCCTGGAAGGGTGCTGTGTAGCCTCAGGCTTGAAAGTTCACTTGTAACCAGACTGGAATTTGAGGATAAATATCCTGGGACCCGGTGACAAGGAAGTGGTTATTCACCCAGTGAACTAAGCCTTACTGAGTTTCAGAGGCCATGGGGGAGGAGCAAGCAGGATTTTCGAGGCCAGTGATTCCCAGGTCATTGTTCTCTGGTTGAATTTTTGTTTTGAGTTGGCCCCAGCAACTGTCCACTTGTCTTAGGGTGGTTTAGAATCCAACCTGCTCCTAGAATTAATGTCGGTTTAAAGTTTGGAATGACTCTGCCTACAGCAGTTTGTCTGGTAAACGGGGAGGACAAGGGCAGAATGCGATCTACAGTGTGGGGTATGTGACTCTACAGCTTCCAGTGAATTAGTCTTTTTTGTGCACCCAGCAGGTCTTGTGGTCCCTGGGTCCACCACCCTTGCCAGATCTGGCTTAGGGGTCCCACCCTTAGGTACAAGAACCCATGGTATAGAGAGATGAGCACCTACACCTCTCAAAAGCCCATGCTTGGCTGGATCTGGGAACAGTTTCCAGGAGCAGTTTCTCAGGACTTCTGAAGGAGTCCTCAAGGAGTAAAGCTGTGCCTATAACCCAAAGGGCCACATAGTCTCCACAGCATAGGAACCAACCACTCTGTCTCCACAGCTATGACATGGTGCATTACGGCCACTCAAACCAACTGCGCCAGGCGCGGGCCATGGGTGACTACCTCATCGTGGGTGTGCACACTGATGGTAAGGTGGGGACCACCTTACCCACCCACTGCCCCCACAGCCTACTTAGTGTTCAAGTCTGTTGACTGAAATCCTGCAGAACCCTGGGAGTGGGCAGAGCAGGCTTGACCCAGCCCCGGCCCCACGCCTTTCCTGTCTGCGTATGCTATCTTGAGCTAGAGAACGGGGTCCCCACTCCCCACCACTCCCAACCTGGCTCCCAAGCCCTCAGGAACTGAACACCTGCTCATCAGAAGGATGCTTGACTTTGCCCGAGACTCTCAGGGGAGAGAGTCATCCAGTTTCCAGCAAACACCCTGGGCACCTGTGCTGGGCTACAGAAGGCAGGGCAACAGCCACATAGATGTGCTTCTGCCCTGTGGTTACAGCACAGTGTTGGGAAGGCACTCCTACAGAAGGGGCTGAGTGAGCTGGGGTCACCCATCTTGTTTTCTTTGTCCTTTTCTTTGGCCCTAGAGGAGATTTCCAAGCACAAGGGGCCCCCGGTGTTCACTCAGGAGGAGAGGTACAAGATGGTGCAAGCCATCAAGTGGGTGGATGAGGTGGTGCCCGCCGCTCCCTACGTCACCACCCTGGAGACCCTGAATAAGTACAACTGCGACTTCTGTGTTCATGGCAGTGAGTAGCAGGGGCTGGGACCCAGGGGCCTGGAGATGCCGTGTGGGCTCAGGACCAGACCTGGTGGGACACCCAAAGATAGGAGGCCCTCAAGCCTTTGGAGGATCTGAGGAACCTCTGGGTCCCTCCCTGGAAATGTGTACACGTGTTCTAGGGCAGGCTGGGAAACGAGAGGGTCCTGGGCACCGAAGGCCTTTATAGTTTTGGGTTACCAATCCTTGTCCTTGTGTGCGTGTCATCTCTTAGATGACATCACCCTGACTGTGGATGGCCAGGACACCTATGAAGAGGTGAAGCAAGCTGGGAGGTACAGGTAAGTCCCTCCATTCAAGGAACCAGGCACAGGGTGCCCTACCGTCTCTGTTTTTGTGGTTTCCTGTAGCTCACCAGGGGAGCATCTGGGCCTGCAGCACAAGTTCCTTGCTGCCAGGACTGGGAACAAGAGTGAGGGAGGTGCCTGTTGTGGGGGTGACCTGGTGGTCCTCACTGTGTGGTGACCCAGGCCCATGGCCCCAGGGCTCCAGAGACAGAGCTTTGCAAGGGTGGCCACACTCTAGATCATGCTGTGGACACAGCAGTCACAAGCCCTGGGCAGCTGTTGAGCACTGAAGATGCAGCCGATGCCGGGGTGCTGGCTATTTATTATAATTAGCTATAACACGTAGAACTATGTGACTGGTGGCTCTTGCATGGAATGGCACAACCTGGAATTTGCTTGGCAGAATACACAGTGGGGCAGGACCTGGACATGTAAGGGAGACCAGGAGCAAGATGGCAGGATGGGGCAGAGCCGCCACCACCAGGGCCTGACCTCTTCCAACATTACATACCTGGAGCTTAGTGAGATTCTTTGTTCTGTACTCCTGTCATCCCCTTCGAGGATGAAAGCCTTCCTCTGGTCTGTGTTTTCTATTGTGGCCAAGAGCAAGGAGGGGATGCCAGTCTGTGGGTAACCATGGGAATTGCCAAGAGCAGGGTTGCAAGGGTCCTTTGAGTGGTGTTAGCTGGAGGTGGAGCCTTGTGAATGTGTCCCAGGACAGGACCTCCCAACCCTTTTCTGTCCCCTAGAGAGTGCAAGCGCACCCAGGGAGTGTCCACCACAGATCTTGTGGGCCGCATGCTGCTGGTGACTAAGGCCCATCATAGCAGCCAGGTGAGTCGGGCAAAATCCCTATGACCCCAAGGTCCTGGATACTGCAGGGAAGGAAGAGGCCTCAGGGGCATTCTGCCCCCAGCTCCCACCCGTCCCCTGTGTGGATTCCAGGAGGGCGGCCTGCCTGGTCCTGGGGTTGGCCATGTCTGGAGGGCAAAGCTCCTCAGCCCCGCTCTATCCTTCCATGCAGGAGATGTCCTCCGAGTACCGGGAGTATGCAGACAGTTTTGGCAGGGTGAGTGTAGCCCATACTGGTGACCCTGGGTGGCACGCAGCTGACTAGACTCCCATAGGACTTTCCACCCACCCTCCCTGGCGAACCCTTGAGGAGAGGTTATCCCAGAGCCTCACCTTCTGCCCTCCTCCCTCATTCCTGGCACTGGCCAGGTGCAGACCATCAGACTCAGCTGGCTGGCAGATGCCAGAAGGGAGGGCAGGCAGGAGGTGAGGTGATGCTGGTTGGCGAGTCACAGCTGCCACCGCTTGGAGGAGGAGCAAGGGCTGCCTGTGGACAGGAGGCCTCTAACCCAGTGGCTTGGCCCTCTCTCCCTTTGTAGCCCCCTCACACGACACCTACCGGGGACACACTTTTCTCAGAAGGCTCCTCCCAGGTGACCAGATGGTGGCCTCAGAGTGCAGTCCTCCCCAAGGGCTGTGCCCACCGGCCACTATGCTCTGCACCTCCTTCCAGTGATCAGTGGCTGGGCTGAGGTGGTGCCTGCTGTGGCTGTGGGTGGCGCCACAGTCCGACCCACCTGGCCTGGTGGAGTATGCCCTGCCCATTCCCTGTCCCCTGCCCCTGCCTGAGGCACTGTAGAGTTGCTGGCAGGCTACAGTCAGGGGTTTAGAGTCCTGGCCTGGAGCACCCCGGCATCTGCTCCTACTATCCCACACCCGTGACTCCCAGGGCAGCTGCAGGCCCAAGAGAGCAGCCCTGGGGTGGGGGCCAGGCGTGGACAGCACCCGGGAGCCTCTGCCACTGACCACACTCTCTCTTGGCTTGCAGTGCCCTGGGGGGCGGAATCCCTGGACAGGGGTGTCCCAGTTTCTGCAGACATCCCAGAAGATCATCCAGTTTGCTTCTGGGAAAGAACCTCAGCCTGGGGAGACAGTCATCTATGTGGCTGGTGCCTTCGACCTGTTCCGTATCCTCTGGGCCCCGCTGCTCCCATCCATCTGTGTAGGGCGGGACCCAGGGCCTCACTTGACTCCAGGGTGATCAACCTGGGCTGAGGTGCAGAGAGACCGCCCTCAGGGAGAATGGTTGCAAGGCCGGTGGGCATGAGCCATCTGGAGGCCAGAGCCTGAGTGCCTCAGGTCTTCCTGACTGTGTTGTCGCTCCTTAACCCAAGCACAGATATCGGGCATGTGGACTTCCTGGAGAAAGTGCATGGGCTGGCAGACAGGCCCTACATCATCGCTGGGTTGCATTTTGATCAGGTCATTGCCTGGTGTCTGTCTGCTCCTCAGCCCCCTGGGCGACTGATGGGCCCTCAAAAGGTCCAGGGTTGGTGTCAGACACAGGTGGTCTCTGGGACAGTGAGGCTTCAAGTGTCTGGTGAAGGCAAAGGAGACCTCTTGGGGGAGTATGGGCTTCTGGGGTCTAGAGCTGTCCTGTCCTGGTATCCTTGTGAGGGCAGTACCTTTCCCAACTCCTTTCTCCAAGGACAGTGGGGCGGGAGCAAGTGTGCTGAGCTGCCCTGCTCTGGCCCTAGGAGGTTAATCACTACAAGGGCAAGAACTACCCCATCATGAACCTGCACGAGCGGACCCTGAGTGTGCTGGCATGCCGGGTGAGTGTAGATTGGGAACCAGCCCAGAAGGAGGCATAACCCAATGTCTCCCCACAAGGACCTACCTGAGCCAGGACAGGGCGGCTCGGGTCTCTGACACAGCCCACCCAGCATCCCAGTTCTGCAGCACCCACCCCTCTCATGGTAAAGCAGAGGTGGGCAGCTGCACCTTCTCACCTTTATGGTAAAGCAGGGGGTGGCTTTTCCCAGGTACTGCTCCTTCTCACCTCCACCCCCACCTGCTTACCGGCAGCTTCAGCCCCAAATCAGGGGCAGACACTCGGCACCCTCTAGCCCTGACTTGCCAGGAGCAGGGATCAAGCAAACTCTTCTGTCTACTGTTCCCACAGTATGTGTCGGAAGTGGTGATTGGGGCCCCATACTCGGTCACGGCAGAACTCCTGAGTCACTTCAAGGTAAGGCTCACATGGATGGGGCACATGGCTCTGCTGTGGGCTCCAGGGAAGAATCTGGGTAGAGGATGGGGCAGGGCCAGCTCCCCCAATTCAGAACCTGTGCTGGGCTGTGGACAGCAGCCGCTGCCTCTCTGGGGAGGGTTCCTGACCTCCACTCCTTCTCTAGGTGGACCTGGTATGTCACGGGAAGACAGAAATTATGCCTGACAGAGATGGCTCTGATCCATACCAGGTGGGTCATGCTAGCCCCTGCTGGGCACAGGGCTGCCACTTGGTACTTTTCAGCCATGTAAACACTTTCACCTTACCTGTCTGGGAAGTGGGCATAGTGACCCTTGCTGCTCTGGTTGCTTCATGGGATAAAGGGGCAGGTTGGGGACCGCAGATGCCAGCTTCCCTCGGGTGCAAGAGGGACCCTCGTCTCCTCCCTCCTCTCCTGGCTTTCAGGAGCCCAAAAGAAGAGGCATCTTCTGTCAGATTGACAGTGGAAGTGATCTGACCACAGACCTCATCGTCCAAAGGATCATCAAGAACAGGTGAGATGGCCCTGGGATCAGGGAGCATGTGGGACCTTCCATGTCGACATCCTCACTCAGCTCACCCTGGACCGGCCCCTAGGCTGGAATATGAGGCCCGAAACCAGAAGAAGGAAGCCAAGGAACTAGCTTTTCTGGAGGCCAGGAGGCAGCAGAAGGCACAGCCCTTGGGAGAGAATGACGGCAACTTCTGACCTAAAGGAGGACAGGTGGGAGAGTCCTGCACGCTGGCCAGCCCTCACCCTGCTCTGCTTCTGCATCTTAGAGTTTTGGTCACATGATTCCTAACAAAGCTGCAATGCCACCCTCTCTAACCAGCCTGGCCCTGGAAGGGTGGGTGAGGACTCTGGCTCCCCCCTTTCTTGTAAGATGTTTGTTTTGCAGCGGGCGCTCAGCCCCCTTCCTGCTAAGCTTCTCAGAAAGGGTGTCCAGCACCGTGGAGTATCCCAACAGGCAGGATGAACAGAGGACAACTGCCACCCAAGACATGCCGCTCCTGTGTGCTTTCAGCCACTGCGTTCCAACTGCCACTCCCCTATCCTGCCCTGGGAAGCTCCCTCAGACCCAGTTTACCCCCAACCACCTGGGCTGGAGGCCATACTGCCTGCCCACCCAGCTTTGGTGGGAGACGCAGAGGAGAGGACTGTAGGGACCAGTGCCCTGGGGGGCACCCCCTTTCCTTCTCTGGGTGCAGACCATGCCACCTCCCAAGTGGGTACCCCTGCGGCACATCCCACCACCCAGTGCCTGGCTCCAGGAAGACATGCCTGCCCCACTCCTGCCAGCTTCATCACTCTCCTCACAGACTCCGTCCTCAGTTCTGTGCCTCTCTGGCTGCTGTCAGTCTCTCTGGTACAACCCAATAAAGCCTGGTGGACAGTGCTGTGTTGGGCTCCCAGCCCTGCTGGGAAGGACCAGGGGACTCACCCACCCATCCACAGGGAGCTCTGTGGCCTTGCCCCCACCATGCACCCAGCAGGGAGGAGGGTGGCAGGCAGCCTGGCAGTAAAGGGACCCCAGACCTGAGCCCTCTGACGCCTCAGGCCACCCCCCCCCACAGCAGGGGAATACCAGAAGAGGGAGGGCCCGCAGCCAAGTAGGCGCCTTCTCTGTGGTCTGCCTCAAGGAAGATGAGAAGGTCTTCCATGGAGCCCCAGAATCTCCATCTCCTGCCCTGCGTCAGGGACCACCTGGAGCAGCCCGGAGGCTGTGGAGGCTCTTAGTGGATGTGCTAGTCTCCTTGCATTCAGAAAAAGTCAGATCATGACTTTTTCAGCCCTGCACTCCTGTCCCTCCAGAACGTCCTCTGCCATCAAGCTCCTGAGCCAAGTGGGCCCCACCCCCTACAGCCTGGGCTGTGGACCTGTTTTTGTTTGGTTGGTTTTTTTGAGTTGTAGTCTCACTCTGTCTCTCAGGCCAGAGTGCAGTGGCACGCTCACAGCTGGGCTCAGGCAATCCTTCCACCTCAGCCTTCCGAGTAGCTGGAACCACAGGTATGTGCCACCACGCCCAGCTACATTTTTGACTTACTGTAGAGATGAGGTCTCGCCAAGTTGCCCTGGCGGTCTCAAACCCCTGGGCTCAGGCAATCCTCTTGCCCCATCCTCCCAAAGTGCTGGGGTTACAGGCTTGAGCCATCGCGCCTGGCCTTCGTTCTTTCTTCTCTTTCTTTTGGTTCAGCTGTTTTCAGCTGCTTACCCAGTATCAGAGCCAGTGAGGTACACAGAGGTTCACACATGTCCCTGGCCGGGTGCCCTCTCCCTACTCTTCATGTCAGGGGCCAAGGTGTGAGGTACAGACCCTCCTTGCTTCATGGGGTCCCACCTTCAGAAGTAGGTTAGTGCTACTGCCCCCATGCTCAGACCCCCTAGGCCGTGGTGTCCCCTGAGCAGAGGCACCAACCAGTCCCTAAGACTTGGCTGCCTGGCCACCAGGCTGGAGAGAGGACAGAGCTCTTCCTGAATATGCTGCCGCCTAGGCCCAGAAGGTGGGACTGGGTAAAGTACTCAACAATGGCAAGTGGAAGCCAGTGCCCAGGTCAGTACCCCAGAGACACATCTACCGGCCACCCTGGGCCCCTAGGAGTGCCTACAGGCCCAGGCCCAGCCACGGGCGTGCACCACAGGGTCAAGGATACCCTGGGAGGTAGACTCCAGACCTCTCTGAGCAGGACTCGGGCCCTCAGAGCCTTCTATACGTTCCCTCAGAAGGGGTGGGGACAAGAAGGCAGCCAAAGGCTAGGACCCATCACACCTCCTGGTCCTAGATGAAAAAGCCGCCCTAGAGGCGACGATAAGCAGCGCCTTGTGGGAGCCCAAGGTCCCCTCATGCCTCCCACTCCCGCCCCAGCCCATGCTCTAACAGGAACTTGGCTTTTGAGTGTGGAGGTGGGAATCATCCTGCTAGATTAGACTGAGTATAGGACCAGGGAGGACAGCTGTGGCAGAGTCCCCCCAGAGCACCAGGGGGCTAGGGGGCTGCTCACCATGGATAGTGGGGGGTGGACCCTGAGCTGGGCAGGGACTGAGTCAGGGTTTTGCCCAGCTTGGCACACTGCAGCTGCACACCTGGTTGCCCTCTCCTACCCATTTTTGGAGACTTTCAGGCCCTGTCCCCCCGGAAGCCCCTGCCAGTATTTCAGCAACCCTCACTCAGAGGCGTCTTTACCTAGTTTATTCATTCAGCCATTTACTGAGGGGTAGGTTGGGAGTGGGAGAACACTGAGGATGCCATCCCATGCCGGTGGATTCTAGGGGTTCCCGAAGGAGACAGTGGGCGTCGGCAGTACCCAGCAGGAGGCAGGAGAGGTCCGGGTCTGGGGTCCGGGGCTCAGGCGTGGCAGTCAGCTGCGCGCAGCGACAGGAAGACGTCCGCCTTGCACTGGAAGGTCCCGCGGCCGTTGGGAAGCCGCTCGCAGCTCTGCAGGTTCGGGGTGATGTCCTTGACACACACGGCCTAGAGCGTGGGGGTGAGGGCTGAGGGCGGGGACCGCCGCGCCCCCCACCCCTCATCCTCCA